CTGTCTACCTCCAGGGCAGACCCAAATCAGACCACTTCTCCCTAGGGCTCACCAGGCCCCCAAACACATCACTCTGTTTTTTCTTCCCACTGACATTTTTTGTTCATTTATTTAACTTGTCTGTCTCTCCCAATAGTAGTTTCCTGGGAGCAGGGGCCTTGTCTGTGTCTTCATGTTGTACCCTCAGTGCCTAGCACAGCACCTGTCATGGCAAAAAGTGCTCTGTAAGTGCTGAGTGACCGAGTGATCATTTTCACCTCTCCTTGTCAGGTGATAGCATTGCTGGGTCCTCTCCCTGTTGTAAGGAAGGGCCTGGCCTCTCCCCCTCCTTAGGCCTGGCAGAGAACCCAGACAGGGGCCAAGTAGCTGGGGGATTCCTGACCAGCCCCAGAACCTGAGCACAATGGCCAGAACCTGGATGACCCATAGGTGCGCACTGCTAGCCGCACATCCCCACTTCCTAGCCCTGCTCTTGGCAATGAGCCGGATGGTGCCCACCATGACCCACCCGACTTTCAGGGTAAAGTCAGGAGATGGAGCAACCCTGGGCTGACAAACCATTTCAGGCCCACCTCCTCCAGGAAGCCCTCAGCGATTCCTGCTGACTCTGGGACTGACTGAGCTCTCAGTGGCTTCCCGGGAGGTTTTAGGGAAGGCAAGGTGTGGGCACAGCTTAGGACCTCAGCACAGTCATCTCCATTTTATAGGTGTGCAGACTGAGGATCAGAGAGATTAAGGAATTTGCCTTAGGTCACAAGAGACTAGTGAGTGTCCCAGACTAATGAGTACCACAGCTGGGAAGCTGTCTGATTCTAAAGCCAAAAGTCTTAAGTGCTGCCTCACACCCGCTTCATCCTGCATAGCGAGGTGCTGAGAGAATGATGATAAAGTCTGAACAGCATGATTAATAACCATGAGGATGATCACGCAGATCAACAGCAACTATGACTGCTGTGCCTGCTCTGAGCCAGGCCTGTGCTTGGTGTTTGGGAGATGGGTACATGTATAATTCCCATTTCACAGAGGGGAAACTGAGGCACGGTGAAGTTAAGTAACTCATTCAAGCTCCCCCATCTGGAAAGTGGAAGATCAGAACTCGGATCCAGGCAGCCTGGCCCCAGCTAGTGCCCAAGTTAAAATTCCTTGGCCATTCTGCCTCCCTGGTCACCAGACACACATCCCCCCGACACACACACATACACGGCCACGCTGGGGCCTCAGAACACTAAGGGGTGAGGGCGAGCCTGCCCCTAATACCTTGGGCAAATGTAGATTCAAACCTCACTTTGGGCTCCCCTGGCCTGCTCTTCCCCCTGCCAAAGCCAGACCACAGTTCTACCTTCCCCCACCCCAGGGGCACCATAGGGACCTTCTCAGGACACCTGGGAAGGTGGACAAGTCTCTACCAGCTCACAGGGCCACCTCCCACCCAAGCCAAGCCTGCCCTGAGGTTGGCTATGGAATCCAGAGGCTGCCTGGCCTCCCCCACCTCACTGTGTGACCACTTCCCCTCCCTGGTCCTTGCTTCCTGTTTTGTCAAACAAAAGTCTTCAATGAAACCCAATCTCCTTCACCCCCTCCCCACTCCCAACTGCCATGTGAGTCAAAATGGGTAAGGCAGACTCTTCCCAGGAACATTTCTCTTTTAACAGGTGGCTCTGGTAACTGAAAGGCACTGAAAGCCCAAAGAAGTGCAGCTGGTGGGCTTTGTGCCAGGCAGACAAGAAGCTAGAGAGATGCTGCAGATGGGGAGGTTCCCAGAGTCCACCGCAGCCCCCACTGCAGTCCCCAGGAAGGATATGCCCACCAAGGGCCTGCTGGTGCAGCCAGGTGCTCCACAAGAAGCAGTCAGCAAATCGGTTTCCCCGAAGAATGCCATGATGTTGGTTTTATTGTCCCATTTTACAGAGGAGGAAGCTGAGGTTCAGGAGTTGTCTACCCGAGGCCTCATAGCTGCTAAGTGGTGAGGTGGGGATTCAACCCCCATCTTTCTGAAGCTGAAGGCCATACACTGGCCCACCTTGCCACCCTGATTCTAACTACACCCCCACCCCTTTTTTTGCACAAAGTGGAAATGGCAAATTAGCAAAAAAGTTGACAGCATCTACTTCAGTTTCAAGTAAACCTGTGCTAGACTTGTACTTGCTGCTTTCCGGCTGCTTTCCGGGAAGTTCCTTCCCCTCTCTGAGTTTCAGTTTCCTCATACTTAAATGAAGATAATAAAACCTACCTCAGAGGGCAGCTGGGAGCAATAAATGAGTCAAGATACGTTAAACAGTTAGAACAGCACCTGGTACGGAATAAACATTCAAATATGAGAAAGAAAAAGCTCCACCTCCCCTCTGCACCTGGAAGGGACAGTTTAGAAACTGCTGTTACAACCTGGGCCGGTTCACTCACCAGTCCACAACTTCAATGCTCTCAGACTTCCCTTTGCAAGTCCCTTTACCTCTCTAAGCCTGAGTTTCTTCATCTGTAAATGGGGATGAAGACATCTGTCCTGTTAGTCATCCAGAGGATTCTGTGAGATAAATCCCTGGAGGCGCCTGGTACCCACTTCTCAAAGGACAGCCATTGTTATTATTATTACAACAACAGGCACATGATCCAACAGGCACGTGATCTGCATTGCCCTCTAGGACACAGAATGCCTGAGTGCCACGGGATTTTCCAGCCCCGTCTCGTATGGACATAGACACCCCTCTGCTCCCCCCTTTTTTTTACCCCCTTCAGTGCCCAGCAGGTGCTCAGGAAGCGTTTGTTGAAATGACACAATCACACCAGGTAGGCAGCCGCTAGGGCCTTGCTACTCAAAGTGTGTCTGTGGACCAGCAGCACCGGCATCGCCTGGGAGCTTGTTATAAGTGCAGCATCTCAGGCCCCAACCAGACCTCCTGAATCAGAGTCTGAACATTAAAATACAGGAGACCTGAGTGCACATTGAAGTTTGAAAAATACTGCCCTGCTCTGCCTTCTTAAAGCTGGCTGGGTCCAGGGCCTCAGCTTGTGGTAGGTATGAGAAGCTCAGGGACCCAGAAACAGCTCCTGTCCCGGGGAGGCCTATACCTGGGACACTGGCACCTCCATTCCCAAAGGCTTCCGCACAGATAGCTCAAGAAAGATGATTAGGGGCATGGGATTTTGAAGCCAGCCTCTCCTGGGCTCAAACCCCAACTTGGCCACTTGCTAGCTATGTGATCTTGGACCTACTTAACCTCTCTGTGCCTGTTTCTTCATGTATAAAATGGGGATGACATTAGCTACCTTAGAGGGTCATTGCCAGGGTCAAATGAATTAATGTAGGTGACATGCTTATAATGGTGCCTGGCACAGAACAATCAACATCTGATGAGCTTCAACTAGTAATAATGAAAGTTATAATTATCTGTCCTACCCCTGGAAAGGCATGGAACTAGCTCTAGTCACAGTGGTTCTGAGATTCACACTGCTTGCTTCTCCTCCTAGCCCAGGTAAGTTCCCTTCTCAAATAATGAGATTTGTCACATCTCACATATATGGCAGGCGACACCTTACCTTTACTCTCAACCATACAGGCACCCACACCAGCAGGTGGTGCCTCATTCCCCAAAGTGTGGAAACTAAGGCCCAGAAGGGGGAGTTGATCTGCTAACTTGAATCAGATGAAAGAATTGGGTAAGGCCAAAAAAACGGTGATAATAATACTCATATTAGTCCTGCCCTCACAGGACTGTTGTAAAAGTATTGCAAGGATCAAGTTGGTGCATATACCACATTTTATGGAAGTGTAACCTACCTGTGAGTTATCTTCATAACTCCCATTTCACTCACAAGCAAGGGGCTCTGCCTACTGCCTTAAGATTCACATCAGGAAAAGGTGGTTCCCCAGTGAAAAGAAAAAAGGCACTAATGATGGGGCAGGGGGCATCCAGACAAAATGGGAAGGAGGCACAGGTGGGGATCATGAGGGCTTGTCCCCGCACTCCTAACTTCTGACAGGGAGTAGCTGAGGAATTCCCTGTGGTGGGGGTGTCAGTAGCAGGGTCCAGGCTTTAGCCTCCTCAGAGGGGAGGCAGGCAGGCTCTCTCTCTCACACACACACACTCACTCCCTGGATTCTCACCAACACTTCTGTGATGTCTGCCATCATCACACCTATTTCTCAGAGGGGTAAGTTGAGGCTGATTGCAGCTGACTCCTCCCACCCCCACCACCCAGTCTCACATCCTATTGGCTGATTCTCTGCCTGGTGGGCTCCTGGGCCCCTCCCCTGCCTGGACAGAATCTCTGGCTCCAAAGCAGGCCATGTGGGCCTGGACTCTCCCTGACCCCACAGTTCCCAAGACGCCACAGCTGGTGGGCGGAGAGAAAAGGGGGTTATCCTTTGGAGCCAGTGGCTGAGGTCTGGCCCCGAGTGATGCCTGCTAGGACCCAAGACCCAGGGCCCATCTAGCTCCTCTGCCCCCAGCGTGGGGAAGGGATGCCCTGCGCCCCTCCGTCCCCTTTCTGGCATGTCTACAGTTCTTCCCACGGGCGCATCCACAAACTTGGGCTCCTGACGCTCACAAAACGATCACAACATTGGTGTGTGAAGTTGATTCCACTCACTGAGCGCTCTGTCCGCGCAGAACTCTAGGTACCTATGGGGGTCCCATTTTACAGCCGAGGTTCAGAGAGGTCTAGCCCCCTGCCTAGGCTCCCACAGCTGCTCAGCCCCAGCGGTGCTAGGATGCCCATTTGATAGACGGTGAAACTGAGACCCAGTGGGTCAAGTCCGGACTGGAAGCAGAACCCGGCATCCTGCCAGGGACGCCTCCGAGTCCTGCCTCTGCGCTCTGGACCCTCCCTGCCTCATTGTCCCTCATTAAACAGCCTGGAGGAAAGCCAAGGCCTAGGCCGAGGGAAGCAAGAGCCTGCAGGAGCCCCTGTTCGCTCCCGGGGTGTGGACGCCCGTCGCGTTCCCCCTCTAAGTCCCCAGGGACGGACCAGGAGCTGGACCCGGAGCCCCCGCGCGCGCTCACTTTGGGCTTGTCGAAGGCGGGCGTCTGGGTCATGGTGCCCGGGGTGCGTCCGGGAGCTGCCCGCTCAGCCGAAGGTCGCTGGTCTCCGCAGGGCTGGTGGCCGGTCCACTTCCGTGCGGCCCTCAGGGGCAGCGGCGGGCCACCTTCTTCTTAACGAGGGGGCCCCGCCCCCGGGGCCGCCTC